AATGGACTTGTACTAAAGATTTGTAGAAGGTCCAAAGCAAGCTTTCTGCCACAGCAGTAGGTGATGTGCTGCTTAGTTGGCCAAAATAGGAACAGTGATTCAGAGGAGGCTAAGTTGGGGCTTATTCAGGTCTTAGCAGTGTCCTGAGTTCTGAGAACTCCCTGTTTCCTGTTGACGTGGGGGCCATACCAGTGGGAACGGGTCACTGCTCTTGTGTAGACCTGGAGCAGTCTCCAGGGACCACCCTGTTCCCGAGGCTGCCATTTGAAAACGACTAGCCATCTTTACTCCACATTTCCTCTGTAATTTCAGATGGACTTGGGTTGTGTTGATGTAGTTTTGAACGGCACAGTTGCCAGCACCATTAAATAATAAGTTTCTTTTCTCTCCCATTTGTATTTCCTTTCACTCCCACCTCTTCCTCTGTCCCTCCCCCACCCCTTTTCTTTTGTGACAGGGTCTCCTATGCAGCGCCTGCTGCCTCTGCCTCCCCATCGCTGGGACTACAGGCGTGTGACTCCGCACTTGCCTTGGAGCTGCATTTTTCTTCTCAAGCACTTTCATGTTGTTTTATAGGATGAGCAGAATCCAGGTGTTGGGAGGTCACACTCTCAGGGCCTGCCTTGCCCCCTGGCAAGATGCGCAGTGTATCACTGATGAGCCAAGAGTGGTTCTCATCACTTCTGTAACTCTTGGGAGTGGGAGCTGTGAGCTGATGCATGCCCTGGGCAGTCTTCTAATGGGTAGAGTTGCAGCTCGGTCACCCACCACAAAAGCTTGATGGATGCCTCAGCCCAGCACCCAGGTGCTGTTTTTTACAGCGCTTTCCAGAGTTATGTTGACATTTACTTGTGTCACTTTGATGTCGGATAGGATTTCATCATTTTGATTTGTTCCTTTACTAATTATTATAATTAATGTCGCCAACAGTCTGGTTGTCACTCAACAGCTAGTTGGAAATGACTGAACATGCTGCAAGGCTGTAGAAATGACAAACATGTGCCCTGTGCTGAAGGACACACACTGAATGGAAACCGTTCACAGAGTGCGGTATCTCATTTAGACAGTGTTGTGAATGAATAGCAGTGCAGGTCCTTAGACATTATTCCCTGCTGAGGGGCCAGGGAGGGGCTGGATCCCAGGCAGACTCTTCTGTGCATTTGAAGAGATGATCCCTCCTGCCCAGGCCCACCATTGTGCACCTACCCTGGCCTCTATGCTTCTCTGAGTACTTCCTCTTACTGTGGAGATGTCTGCTTCCTGAGGACCAGCCTTATTCCAGCAGAGCCTCCGTGTGTGTCAGATTAGCACAGGTTCCAGATAGTTGAACATGGACTTGGAAACCTTGCACTGTGTGTTAGCGTTCTCTTGGGTTCCTGCAACACCATCTTACTTCATTTTATGAGCAGCATTCCGTTTCTGAGCAAGGAAGCCCTCAGGAGAGCTCTACTTTGCTGGACTCCGACCCTGTCACCCAAGGGCAGGTGCCCCAAATGGCCCAGCCATGCAGTAGCCCCACCAGTTGCACTGTGCATGGCTCCAGTGGGCTTTGCTTATAGGTGCCAAAGATTTAGGGAACCTAGATAATTTTTAAAAATCTTTTAAAAATTATTTTTAATTTATGTGTATGAGTGTTATGCCTACATGTATGTAAGTGTACCCATGTTGTGCAGTGCCCGAGGAGGACAGAAGAGGGTGTCCAATCCCCTGGAACCGGAGTTACGAATGGATGTTAGCTGCCATGTGAGTGCTGGGATTTGAACCCGGCTCTTCTGCAAGAGCAGCCAGTGCTTTTTAGCCACTGAGCCATCACTCCAATCCTGTACCTGGAGAAAAAATTTTAAGTCTTCACTTTCTAAAGCTCTGATGTTCACCAGTGGACTGACGACTCCACTTTCACTTTCTTAACCTGTAGTCCTCACATGTGCAGATAGATGAGGCTAAACATGAGTGTCCGGAGGGGTCGGACCTCATTCCCTGTTGTCTTCTTTGTGTGTAACCTTTCTTTCTTGCCAAAGGCTGGGTGACCTTCAGAATGCAAGCAGCGTGTTTCCTGGCCTCCTGGCCCTGTCTGCCCTCCCCGCTCTGCCCCCATTCCCCACGCCCCATTCTCTGAACAGCCTCCATGGGTGCTGACTGACCCTGGCTCACAGCCATAGACTTGTCTGCAAAGGGCCTGTTCTCTGCTTGCGGTTTTCTTGTTTGTTTGTGTTCCTGACACTTACTGTGTCTTCAGGTCATACCAAGACATGGGCTTTGTTTTTGTTTTGTTTTGTTTCCTTTATTTACTCTGATTCAGGGTCCTGCTGTGCCAGACTGGCCTTGAGCTTGGAATCTCCTTGCCTGAGTCTCCTGACTGCTGGATTAAGATCATGGTGCTCAGCCTTGTTGTTTTCTTTCTTTTTCCCCACTTTTGAATGCTTAAAAATGTTAATATTCAACAAGCATATAATGTGTTTTGAGCAAATCCACCCCAGTCCCTCCCCTCCAACCTTTCTTTAACCCCATATCACTCACTTTTCTCTCCCAACTTCTCCCTCCCTCCCTCCCTTTCCCCCCTAAACTTAATACCCACTGAGTCCATTTAGTACTCCCTGTATGTGCATGGCTATAGGACCATCTGTTGGAGCATGGGTATTCTCTTGGGGCCCGTATCCCTGAAGAAAACTGACTCTCTCTTCCCCAGCAACCATCAGTTGCCGTTAGCCCCTCAGCTAGGAGTGGGACACCACATACTTGAGTCATAGAACATGGAGAAATTAAGCTGGTAATGACTTGGAAGTTTCATCCCTACTGGCTAGCTTTCACAGTGCTGGAAGATGCTATGCACAGTACTAGGGGAGAAAAGTCACCAGCAGTCTTCCCCAGCTGTCAGCTCTGAGAGCTACATAATGGCTGGCCTGTCAAAATATGCCCACTGGTGTAGGAGTAACATGAATGTTATGGGAGTAACCAACCATCCTCTAACTGATTTAAAGCCCACTCCACACAACAGAACCCATGCCTGGTACCATTAACTGGGCCAGAACAAAACAAACATGGCTGAAGTAGATCCTAGGCCCTGGGAGAGAACCCACTGCTATCATTCTGCTAAGGGGACACAGTGATACTCCCCCGCCCCACCATGTTCTGTGACTCAGGTATGCGGTATCTTCTGCAATAGGGTCTTACCTTCAAGTCCAAGAGCGATAGCTGGTGAACACATTCAGCAGAGTAGTAAGGTACAGAATTAATGCACAGAATTAGTAGATTGCCAGTATGCCAGCAACAGACACACCAAGAAAGAAATCAGACAAATAGTCCTATTCCATAGCCACAAAAACAGACACAGAACAAAACACTCTGGAATAAATACAACCAAGGAAGTGAAATACTTGCTCAGTGAGAACTTTAAGGCGCTGAAGAAAGAAATGGAAGAAGACAATAGAAAATGGAAAGACCCCCGTGCTTGTAGATTTAAGGGTTAGTATTGTGGAAAAAATAGTCTGCAGTTTCAATGCAATCCCCATCAAAATTCCACCACAATTCTTCACAGAAATTATAAAAATAATCTCGGAATTTGTAAGGAAGCATAAAGACCCAGGCAGGATAACTAAAACAACCCTGAACAATGAAAATACGGCTAGATATGTTTCTGTCCATTTTTTCTTTAAAAAATTTAATATAGAGTTTATTGAACTGCATTATATGGGAATGTGCACACTACGTTTTCAGATCACAGGATATAACTCATCTACAGGCAAACCCCTTCAGTGATGTTCTAGTGTGTTCTGCCATGGTTTTGGAGATCCTGCCCTTGCTGCTTGACATTGGCTGTGGTGCCCGAGTGCCGTGATGCTCTCTACCACCCAGGGCCGTGAGCTGCTCTTTGAGTCCATTGCTGGGAAAGAAGCTCAGTGTAAGGAACAGGGTAGATGAAGACGAACCAAAGCACTTTCCTTGTTCCCGTCATTAACTTCAGCACCCTTGTGACAGGGCCAAACTCAGCTTTGTTGTCTCCCCCACCCCCCTTTTTACCTGCAAGTCAGCCTAAGTTTTAACAAATCAGCTTTCAGAACATTGTGACTGTCTGCAATGCTCCAGTTGTGGCTCTAACTCACATCTGGGTCCCTGGCCTGGGCTCTTGAGCCCCAACCTCACTCCCTTCATTAGCTATCCTGCAGGGTTTGGGATGTCTGGGGAAGCTCCCCTGTGCTCACTCTGGGTTTCCTTTTCTGGGTTTTCTTTCACCCCCTCCGCTCCCCCAGGCTTCCATAGCGGCCTGTTGGATTCCATTAGATATTTATTGGCATTGCAGTGAATGTGAGAATGACACTGGGACGGCTGGAGTTTTCAGAATGCTGTGTCTCCTAAGGCAGGACATTTGTTCGGTGCTTGTGCTTCCGCCTTTTCGTGGAGTGATGGCGCGTTCCCACGTTTACCCATGTCTTCCTAAGCTACTTCTTACCTGTTTAATTTTTGATGTTTTGCTCCAGAGGTTTCCTTATCCTCTGTTGTTTGTGTCTATAAAGACCCCTGGTGCTCATATGTTAACTTCAGGACCTCATCCCAACATGTGCAGTGATGGTTTAGCCTGCACAGGTGAGCGAGATGTTGAATGGCTACCTAGGACTACACAGGGACAGACAGCACGTCCTCTCTGCCTTCTCTGTAACTCCACCATTGCTGGCCTACAGACCTTGTTTGAGTTGGTTATCTCTGCTTCACGTTCTAGGGAAGTTTTCGGAAGGCTCCCTACTTATAAGAAACAATGGGTCCATGTGACAGCTGTGTCTGACCCATGTCACCATGTGACAGCCGCCCTTGTTCGGGTCTCGTCTTCTAGTTCACAGTGAGAACGTGCCACAGGAGTGTGAAGTAGCTGGTGCTCACATTTCTAAGTGCTGTAGCTTGGGACCCCCTGCAAAAGGCCATAGCTGCTCCCTGTGGACTCAGAGCTCGTGTGTCCTGTAGCTGTTTCCGGTCTGTGACAAGTGTCTCTTTTTCTCACCCCTCCACAGGCCCGGTACAAGCAGAGCCTCGACCCCACCGTGGATGAAGTAAAGAAGCTCTGTACGTCTCTGCGCCGGAACGCCAAAGAAGAGCGGGTCCTCTTCCACTACAACGGCCACGGGGTGCCCAGACCCACGGTGAACGGTGAAGTCTGGGTCTTCAACAAGGTGAGCCTGCCCTCAGCCCCGGTCCTTCTTCCCCAGAGAGCCTGTCAGCCTGGGAGTCCTCTGAGGTCTCCTGTCGGCCTGAGCGTCGTCTGAGGTCTCCTGTCGGCCTGGGCGTCGTCTGAGGTCTCCTGTCGGCCTGGGAGTCCTCTGAGGTCTCCTGTCGGCCTGAGCGTCGTCTGAGGTCTCCTGTCGGCCTGGGCGTCGTCTGAGGTCTCCTGTCGGCCTGGGAGTCATCTGAGGTCTCCTGTCGGCCTGGGCGTCGTCTGAGGTCTCCTGTCGGCCTGGGAGTCCTCTGAGGTCTCCTGCTCACAGCTTCTGTTGAACTGTGGGTGTTTCACCCGTTTTGCCTCTGGAGCACAGTGGCCCATGCTGGGCCAGCTGACCAGTTGCTTGGCTGGGAAAAGCTTCTGGTAAAAGCTGATGATGAGGCAGAGGAAACTATTTCTTTTCGAGGACACGTTGACCAAAGCCTCTTAAAGCAGCATGTGTGGGTGGCATGTCCTTAGCCTGGGGTGGGGCTGTTCACGGCTGAAGAGAGACCTCATGCACACCGGCTTACTAGTCAAACAGCAGCAGCGTTTCTCCGTTCTTGAGTGTCTTCTTTTGAAAATCAGTGGTTTTCTTACAAAATAAAACCTGAGTATTCTAAAGAGCTGATGTTCAGCTGCCTCTTAGGCTCTACCTCAGGCCTTCCCTCCCTGAGGTAAAAATTCCTGACCTCTAGCAGTTCCTTGAGTCAGAAACTAGATGGTGAAGAGAGTCCTGTCCTGGGCTGAGTGGTGAGTTTTATCCCATGCCACAGGGCAGGATCTCTGCGCTCCATAGAAAAGCCTGCCATTCTGCCCTGCTACCTACTGCTGTGCATGACACATAGCTCTGGAGCAGGGCCCTCTTGAACACTTTGAGCTTTGATTTTGGGTCCAGCAAAAACGAGCCGAGATTTTAGCCCATGTCACTCTTAGTGCGGGGCCTGGACAGATGGTAAACCTTCTTGGTGTGTTTCCTGGTTACAGACACTGCTTCAACGCATCCTCCTGGCAATTTAAAAAGCCTGACATATCAAGTGTCTCACCAACCACTTAGGCCATTGTAGATAGTGAGCACCCACTGATGGCCTCTGTCCTTTCACTGTGGTTTTACCTTCTTAGATAAAGGGGCCTACAGGAAGGATTCAGGACCTTTCCTCAAAGGGTATAGTGGACAGGGTCTAAGGGCAAGATCCAGTTCCCTACAGGGGCAGTGCTGTGCCTCCCTCATACCCAGTCTAAGAACCAGTGATAAGGATCTTTTTTTTTCCCCGTTGATTTTCTATATTCCATTCATATTGTATAGTCCAAATATAGTTTTGTGCTTGCACGCACATGCGTGCGCATGAGCATGCAAACATGTACCACGACATACATGTGGAGGTCAGAGGGAGCTTCAGGGTTCTTTCTTGCCTTCCACCATATAGGACTCAGGGATTGAACTCAGGTTGTTAGGCTTGGCAGCAAGTGCCTTTACCTGGGGCCATTTTTTTTTTTTTTTTAAATCCTTTTAGACAGGGTCTCCTTGTAACCACAGCTGGACTGGGATTCACTATGTAGACCAGGTAGGCCTTGATCTCACAGGGATCCACTTGCCTCTGCCTCCCGAGTGCTGGAATTAAAGGCACGTACCATCATGCCTGGCTGTTGAACCATCTTTCTGGCCCAATTATGAATGAGGCAGAATTTAAAAGAACATGGCATAGTGGACCACCAGGCACTCACTAACCAGTTCAGGAGAGGAGACTTTGGAGTCCCCATGTGCCTTCCTCATCCTCATGCCCCCTCCCCACATAGAATGCAGGAGGATCTGAGCTGCTCATTTCCTGGCTGCCCCACACCAGATTGCATTTGCAGGCAGAAATAGTTTAGGGAAGAAGGATTTATTTTGACTCATGCTTTTCTTGTTTTGTGTGTCTGTTTGGTGTATGCTCGTGCATGTGCTCACCTGTGTATGTGCATGTGGAGACTAGAGGTCTTTTCCAGTTGCTCCCTGCCTGAGCCCTGCTTTCCTGTGTGGGTGTGTCTGAGCTCTCTGCCAGGCTGTCATCTTGAGGAGCCCTGTCAGTGCTTCCTGGTTTGGGGAAAACAAGCACCTGGGTTCCGCTTAGTGGTGTGTTGGTTCATCTTGGCTCTTTGGTCTTCTGAGAAAGCGCTGTCTCCACATGTTCATTTCTCTAAGAATTCTTTTGCCCTTCAATGCTGTAGCCACAGCCTCACCAGCCTCTTGTTGGTTTTAACAATTTTTCAGTCTACATGCTTGGCTTTTCCTAATAGATTATGGTGTTATCTGCAAATGGGGATTTTACTGCTTCTCTCTGGTTCGCACGCTTCCGTATCACACTTGTTTTCCTATGCTGGCCTCCAAGACAGGAAGCAGTGACTGGTGGGTGCACCCTTGTCTTTGTCACCTCCTGGGAGGTCTTCAGATGTTTGCAGTAGGCTTTGTGTGGGGACGGGGAGTGAAACCAGTTCTCTTCCTGCTTTGATTTTAGTCCTGAATCAATACTGACTTCTGAAGCTGGGGTTTTGGCCTGTGTAGGATTGAGAAAGGTCTATTCCAACTTGGATTTTTTTAACTTTTCTTTTTATTTGTTCTTTTTTTTTTTTTTTAATGCATATGAGTGTATTACCTGCATGTATATAAGTGCACCTGTGTCATGCAGTGCCCCTGAAACTGATATGTATGGCACGGTTTCATGTGACTCTTAATATGGTGTGCACCTTCTGTCCTTAGGGTGGCCAGTTCATCACTGTGAACCGTCTGCTTCACACATGATTTAGTTCAGCTTGCTGGTGTGTTGTTTTAAATCTGTGCCCCTGGTGAGAGTTGCCTGGGCTTTTTTTCTCCTGTCCTCACTTGGCCTGAGTTACCAGTATTCTGTAGCCTTAGAAAATAAATTGGAATTTTCCTTCTTGTCAGATGCTCTGGAGTAGTTTTTGTAAGGCTTAAAGTGTTTGACTATTGGGAGAACTTGGGAACACAGCTGCCTAGGGGCAGATTGTTGTACAAGGTCCCTTCTTTTACAGCTGGGACTATGCCATTGAATGAATGGATTTGTCGACATTTGTTGCTCATAATTACCCCGCCCCCTTTTACCTTGCCAGTGTCTGGGGCACAAGGTAATGATGGTCGTTGGTCATTCTTGGTGCTGAGTACACATCTCTCTCTCTTCTTTATTCTGACGAGGAGCATACATGCCTTTAGCAGTCTTGTCAGAGCTCTTTGACCTTTGTGGTCCTCCAGAAGGCTGCAGTGCTGTCTCCTGTGCTGTGCATGCTCTGTGGGGATGGTATCCCTGACTGTGGATGTTTTTCTCCTAAACACAGTGCCATTAAATTTGTAGAGAAATTAATACCACTTCCATGGTATCATCTAATACAGAGCAAGTGCACACAGGCAAGCCCTTTAATCGTTCACTTGTTTTGGGTTCAGAATCTGCCAAGGGTTCCTGCTGCCCTGACCCCGCTGCCCTGCATGGCCTCTGTCTCTGTAGGCTGGTCTTCTAGTCTGTTTTTTCTCCGGACACAGGCTGTGTTTAAAGTGAGGTTTTGTGTTTCGGACTTCCTTTGGGGAGTTAGTTGGGATCAGTCAGTAAGGTCTTGTTTCTGGGGCACTTCATTGGTCATGCAGGGCAGTGAGCTGTCCAGAATCCCTGTTGGCATCTGACTCTTTCTTCCCTTGTCAGGGTTGATGAACCTGTGCGGTACAGTATTACTAGCTAGGCCCTGCTTTTTGCTAAGGTTCACTTTTGCTGTTGGGCAGGGTATGGTTTCTACAGATGTGGCATGTCATTCATCCAGCACTACAGTGTCACATGGAGTTCACACACATGATGCTCATTGGCCCAGAAGTTCTCTCTGCTCCCCCCCATCCCTCCTCAGTTTGTCTTTCCCAGAATGCCCCATGGTTGGTGTCATCTAGTATGTGTGCATCTTTCAGAGTGGTTTCTTTTGCTTAGCAACATGTGCTTAAGGCTTTTCCATGTCTCTTCATGGCTTGATAGCTCAGTTCTTTTTCTTTTATTACTGAGTAATATTCCACTCTGCATTTACCTGCTGAAGCTATCTCAGTGCCATCTAGTTTTTTCCTTTGTTCCAAATAATGCTTTTATAGGCATCTGCTTAGGGTTGTTTATTTATTTATTTTGAGACAAGGTCTGTGTAGCCCATGCTGGCTTTGAACTCATGGTCTTTCTGCTTCCTGAGGTGAGATTCTTAGGGTTTAATATGGATACCAGTTTTCAACTCAGGGTTGCTGGCTAACATGGTGAAAGTATACGTAGCTTTGTAAGAGCTGCCAAGCATTCTTCCAGGGTCCCTGTACCATTTGCATTTGCACTAGTACTGAGTGTGGCTTCCTTTTGGTTCACATCACCTGCAGCTGGTAGTGTGAGCATTCTGGGTTTTAGCTGTTCTGTGACATATATAGTGGGGCCTTGATACTGTTTAATTTGTAGTTCTTTAACATTCAGTAATTTGTGGTGACATGCTATTCACCATCTTCCTCTGATTATCTGTGGTCTGTGTATCTTTCCCCCTAGGGTGTGTTCAGATCTGTGCCTTTTGTTACCCTGATGGGGATGGAACCAGAGCCATGTGTGCCAAGCAAGTGCTTTGCCACTGAGTTACCCTCCAAGGCCTGCCCACCTTAAAAGTCAAGTAGTCTGTTTTCTTGTTGAGCTTTAATTGTCCTCTGTACCTTTTAGATATTAGTCCTCTATCAGACATTTGTTTTGAAGATATTTTTCTAGTTTGTGGCTTGTCTTGTTTATTAATAGTGGACATTTTTTTTATCATCAGAGTTCAGACCTGTTGTTCTCTAGACTGTCCCAGAATGTCCCCCACATTCTGGTTTAGCCTCTTTGTTTTGTCTTGAGTTTTTGTGAGAAGAGTGAGTTGAAACTTTGTGCTGTTCACCAAAGTGCAGCTCTAAGTATGAAAGGTTGAGGTCAAAGGACGTGCTTGTAGAAC